AAATATGACATAGTCTTCATGGGTATTGGATCTCACATATATTTTAGAATGTGACCTATAAGTTTCAAGGAAAAGAGAGAGTCCAAAGGTCAAAGTGGAACAAATTTGGAGTTTCAAAGAGTAAAGTGTTGACGTTTGAATTATAGAGAAAGCAAAGTGAGATCAAAATGGAGTTTCAGGGAGCGTGGTTAAAAATAATTAAAGATTCAAGTATCTATCAACGGTAGTTTCATTCAACCTATTTTTTATTTTTTATTTATAAAAAAACCTATGAATTATTTAAACTTAAAAAAAAAGGGAAAAAAGTGTACGACACTAGCATCGAAGAGGAATGTGATATTTAATAATATGATCCAGTGATCGATGCCAAATTTGAATCAAATTATTATGGCTTACTTCTGTGTGATTTAGCTCAAAGCTCTCATTTTTATAGTGGATATATCGATGTAAAAAAAATGGAGAGAAAAAAAACAAAATTGGCCAATAAGGGTCACTTATTCATTAGTCCAAGTTTAGGCCTTAGGGGCTCGTTTGTTTGACCTCCTTAGCTAGGATTGGACTAGCTAAGACTAATAACCCACATTTGGCATGGTTATGGACTAAGTTAAATGGGACTAGCCCGGACTCACATGGACTACCAGCCTCGTTAAGTCATCCTAATTAGTCCGACCAAAAAGCATGGGATTGCTAAGAACCTCAATACGCTGCTTCCCTCGCCGTCTCCTTCGCGTGAATTGGTGGGAGCGAACCGTTGTTTTTCGTCAAAGCTATTGATCCTGCGATGAGCTTCCAGAACAAGTCTCATTTCTCTCTCGGATCAATATGGGAATTGGGTGATGAACTTGGTAATTAGAGCTGCTCATGAACTTGGTCAATTTGCCTTAAAAATTGATAATTATTTCTCTTGAATTGAAGAAGAACCTTTTGGCTGTCCCTTTTTTTCCATGCTGATGTTGAAGCTTGGCCTTGGTAGCTTGACAATTGTGTCCTATTTCTGATGGGTGAGTGGGTCGGCACATGGGAGGGCTGAAAGAGCACTACCCAGATGAAGATTGAAGATGATGGAACAAATTGTCAAATTCCGGTTTCGTCAATTTTGGAGGAGAGAGAGGATAAAACGGTGGTGTTCTACTAGATTTGATCTTTTATTATTATTTTTTTATTAGTTTTTAGTTTTTATTTTTTGGAAACTGAGTTTTTAGTTTTTCTTTTGTTAAGTAAGTGTGGATTAAAAATGAAAAAAAAAAAAAACGATTTGAGACCTAAAATATTTTAGTCTATAGTTTAGTCCAGTATTGTACCAAACACTTCACTATTCTTATCCTACTTAGTCCAAGCCAAGCCCATCAAGCTTAGTCCTTAAAGCTAGTCCAGTCTGAGATAGTCTGGTGCAACAAACGCACCCTAGAAGTTATACAGGGTTACATATTTTTGCTTGGGTTTCAAGAATCGTTTGAGTCCAATGAAACTGACCATTAGGGCCTGTCTTGGGCCTATGTTTCAAAAGTTGATGTCCGATTAAATTTTTGAATCCTTCCATCATCGGTAAGTTGACTATTGTTGTTTGTTTAACGAAGTAATCAGTTGCTCACACTTTACTTACATACATAGAAGTACACTAGGTTAAGTGGTTAACAAATGTCTTACGGTTGACCAAAAAACAAAGTCTTGTCACAATAAGTAAGTTGTTTTTTAGGAAAGAAAATCTTAACCTTATAGATGTCACAACCCGTCCCGAAGGTACATTTGACGGGAATGTGAATTGACGGGATTGCCCCTAGTAAGTGCTAAGGTAAGTGTTGTGACATGTTTTGATTTTGTTCTAATTCCTAAGTTTTGGAAAATAATTTAAATGAGATTAAAAATGTTGGAAGGTTTGTGTGGTTAGGGAATTAGGATCAAATTGGATGGTGGGGATTTGAGTGGACCACCAAAAACTCCCTGTTCTCTCTCTCCCTCTCCCCGTATCTCTCTCTCTCTCCTCCCTCACGATTCTTCCTCTCTCTCACCCACCTCGTACGGACGGCAACCAAAACCCTCCAAAACTCAGTGGATCGAAGCAACCAAGGTAAGATTCTTCATCCCTGTGATGCTCTGAGTTGTTTGATGGTAGTTTTAGGACGTAGAACCTTCGAAAACCCCTGAAACCCGAACTCCCCATTTTTGGTCACTGTTCATGCACACGTGAAATGTTGTGTTTCAGGGAATTCTAAGCTTATAGTGAGCTTAGTGAGGTCCTAAGGAAGCTCGGGGACGTTCGTTTGGAAGGTTTGGACGTCGGGATCGTCAAGTTCGACTTTGGCCGGTTTTGCTTGGATTTTTCCGGTGAGATTTAGTTGTTTTTTAGAGCTTTAAAGTAGTGTATTGTGATTCTACATGTTTGGGGCTTCAATTTGATATATTATACGAAGAAAATGGTTGAGAAACGAAGGAGAACAAGGCGTTTGAAGTTTGGCCGGAAACCGGCCGCCGGAAAAACCAGTCCGGCGAACCAAGGTTGGGGATGATGCGCGTGGGGGCGCGTGTCCCCGTGCTTGTCCTGGCGCGTGGGGGCGCGTGGCACATCAAAAAAATATTTCGACGTTCGTGACGTCGAGTAGATCACTGTGGTATATTCATATACCCAAATTGAGCACCGTATGAGAAAGTTATTACGATTATTGGTTAGGTGCTTTAAATAACGTTTTATAGTTTTCGCATTTAGGTGAAAATGTGAATTGACGATCCGACCGTTGGATCGTCGCCAAACTTTGATACGTTGAAATACGTAATATTTGAGGATTATTGGAACTTACGGATTGGGAATCCGAGTTACGGATCTTCCGGAATTGGAGTTGTAAGTTCATAAAATAAAATGTTAACCGTCACTTAGTTTTGGAAATTGACGGAGATCCGACCGTTGGATGGTAATGAAATTTCAGGATGTTGTCCTAGAGATATATTGTGGACCTCTGGAAGTTATGGATTTAAAATCTGAGTTGCAGATCTTTCGGATCGAACTGCGTAGTGATGTGTTTTATATAAGTTATATTCTATCGATATGATTTCTGAGGTTGGATTTGATTATTGTTCTAGGCGGCGATCGTCATGACGCCTTGATGTGTTGTGCTAGGGAGTTGTAGGGCGAACTCCAGGTGAGTGGGCAGTATTTTCTGTATTTACCTATATACTATTGAGTTTTCCCAGAAATTGAATTTAAATGAAAGTATGATTTAAAATGCCATGGATAGATTTATATGAAAAGTATGATTTGAAATGCCATGCATAGAAGTATATGAAAAGCATGAATTGATATATGATGCATATATATATGTGAATTGGTGCTGGACGCACAGGTAAGTATCAGGTGAGTTTTATATTATTCATGTGCATTGTTGATGTGTATATTGTGGATAGCTCATAACCTGCAATCATGGTGTTAGTGCTTATATTATTCACCACACCGCACGCTCGTCTTGGATCCAAGTAGGTGGATGTCGTACAGACCAAGTGAGGGTTCCGACATGCTAGTCGTATAGATTACTATATGTGATTCCGACTAGTGGGTGACCTTAGATTATGTGCACAGATGATTGATGAGAGAAGCACTAGAGCGTATTATTACACCATCCATGTCGTACAGACTACTTCAGGTAGTTCCGACTTATCTGCAGTGTAGTGCCGTACAGGTCATCGAGGTGACTCCGGTTGGATTGGATGTTGAGCTATGGAATTAACCGTACAGGACCAACTGCAGGGTCTCCGGTTAATTCAACTTTTCACCTGTTACATTGATGCATCATTTATTTTGTTTTCGAAATTAAAACATGGCATACTTTCGGGTTTTAAAAGAAAAATTGATGATTCGAGATTTATGAAAAGTATTATGTTATTATACTATTTTCTGGGAAAAGTATACAGGTTTTACAGTGAGGGGTTAGAATTATTTTTGGCGAAATGTTTTTGAAAAGCTTGGTTTTACTGACCCACTCAATTTTGTTTTTCGCCCCTCCAGGTTCTTGATAGCAGAGTTTTGGTGGCCACGAGGAATCCAACGGTATTCTGACAGAATTCACAAAAGTAGGACTCACCCTCGAGGGTTTCCATTTTAATAATTGTATTTTAAAAGCTTCCGAACTGTGTAAATGGTTACGTCACTCTCATGTGACGGCCAGCATGCCCTCATTCGGGACGGGGTGTGTCAATAGAAGTACCAAAGGACCGAGAAATGAAAGTTGACATACGTAAAATTTATACAATGTTCATGTAACCTCACCTCATGTATAAGAACTAACTTTTAACTTAATACTTTGAACGAATGGAAGATTATAATTAATTTGATGTACTAAAGGACCAATTATGTAACATTTATAACTTTAAGTCATGTACAAACATTTTCAAAATACATAGAAAATGAATGATACTTTTGCTTCTTGATTTTCAAGCACGGGCATTGGACTATGTTGTTTTGCGTTATTTTTTGTATGATCTTATATTATTTTGAATAAAACATCTTATCCTAGAAAAAAAAATAGACACACAAAACATTATTATACCTTAAATCATGAGTGAGATTTGCACGTCAACTTAAACATAATGCCATTCTAAACTAGTAATACAATATTATATAAAAACGTAAATATACATAATATTATATTATTAACAGAAAACGTTATCACAAAGTAGCAAATGACGCATAATTGGATGTACAATACCAAATACCAACTCAGCAAAGTTTGGACGTTTCACTTTTGCTTCAACTAGGGCCAGCACTGACGCGGCAATTAATTCTTTTATGACAAATTAGCTGTGAATAATCCAACATGATTTTCTTCGAATGGTTCCGGTGAAGATCCGGAGAATTTATAAATAGTATTCGTTCATCGTATATTATGTGATCAGTTTTTATCAGATATTATTTACGTTTGATTTATAATCGCACGATATACAATGAACGAACATGATGAACGGATCCTCACAATTCTCACAAAGAGAATCCAGATTCGTGAGTAATTGAAGGAGAAGTGACTATTGCACTTTCCAAACAATAATTTAAATTTAAAAAATTGACATATTAATCAAAATTAATACGTGTATAAACTGAAGCAACAATTAGAATTACACTCTGTATTACTATGTATTCTGCAAAATTCCCAGATGAATTCATGTATATAAATTCATAAACATTCACATTTAATTCGTATTTTTTTAGGGTTTGGTCAAAGATGTCAAGCAATTCAGATGCAGAGATTGCAGCAGCGGCTGCTGCTCCATCTGCATCTCAAGAAGTTGCAGAAGTATTAGCAGCAGCACCGCCGCCGGTCTCCGATTCGGCGTCTTCCGCCGTCCCCAACTCCGAATCCGAAAACAACCCATCACCGCCGGGGCCTAATCCGGAAGCCCCAGTGGGCTGGCCGGCCGACGGAAAGCTCAGTCTCGAATGGATTCGGAACCTCATGTCCGTTTTTGATTGGGCATCCAGAAATCTGGACCCGACCCAGTTGCCCGACGTGTTTCCCGTAGAGGTTTTCGATAGCTTGGTCCTCTGCGCATCCAAGATTCTCCACAAAGAGTCCAATTGCGTCGCTGTCGATCAGTTAGGCCCGGAATCTACCGTGGTGGTCGTCGGTGACCTTCACGGTCAGCTGCACGACCTCCTTTTTCTTTTAAACGATGCTGGGTTTCCATCAGAAAACCGATTTTTTGTCTTCAATGGCGATTACGTTGACAGAGGGGCTTGGGGTCTAGAAAGCTTCTTAATTTTGTTAGCTTGGAAGGTGTTTTTGCCCAGAAGTGTTTATCTTTTAAGAGGAAACCACGAATCGAAATACTGCACTTCGGTTTACGGATTCGAGAAGGAAGTACTGACAAAGTATGGAGATAAAGGGAAGCATGTGTACCGAAAATGTCTTGGGTGCTTTGAAGGTCTTCCCTTGACCTCCATGGTTGGTAAATATGTATATACTGCTCATGGCGGGCTGTTTCGCAGCACGCCGGCCACCCCCAAGAGATCGAAAGGAAAGAAGAATAGGAGGATAGCTTTCAATCCTGAACCCAGTAGTACATTGTCTCTTGGATCCTTTGAAGAATTAAATAAGGCTCGAAGATCGGTTCTTGATCCTCCGTGGGAAGGTTCGAACTTGATTCCTGGTGATGTGCTGTGGTCGGATCCCTCCATGAAGCCCGGTCTTTCTCCGAATAAAGAGAGAGGCATTGGTCTGCTTTGGGGTCCTGACTGCACTGAGGATTTTCTCAAGAAGTTTCAACTCAAGGTAATAGCAAGATTTGGAATCTACATTTCTAGTCTTAGGCAATTGAGTGTTAGTTTACTTACACAGTACTTATGGAAAAATATTCGTTTTAGGATATAATGTTGATACTTTGATTTTTAAGAGTATGCTTTTTCTTGTTTGCTTCATGGTGAACTGCTTCTTGTTCGTTGTTAAGTGATGCTTCAATTGATAACGTAATACGACTGAAAGCATTGCATACTTCAATTGTAATCTAGAGACAAATCGAGACAAATCACGTTTCTTTTTTTGGAACAAAACTTTTAATTTAATTTTGGTACTGCTGCGTTCCAAGTGCGGTGATGGCTGGATAGCAATTAGCCAATAACTATTTATCCTTTTGAGAATTTGAATTTAGGGTAACATTTATGTTCAAATGCGGTGGCAAAGGGTAGGAAACACGTTAAATTCGCATTTACTAGCCATATTAAAGTGGTTAGTCGAAATAATATCAGCCGGATGATCAATTTGCAACCCTAATATAGTGTTGATGACAAATAGGTTATTACCACCGAGTATTTTTGTATGTCCTAGTTACATGATGACAGTTAAGGCTTAGTTATGAAGGCTTGTGAATGAATATGGAGGTGCTTATGGGTTTGTTGTTGCTTTGATAAATTTTAACCACCCTGGCCTTGGTTCAATAGGTAGATGGTTGGTGGGGTTCGACTATGTCTTTTGTTAAAATTTTACTAGTTAAGAAAGAAAATACACAAGTTTTAATTCTCTTTTGAAAATGACTAGCAGCTGTAATGTTTCTGTACTGCAGAGAGGCTGTTGCACTTTATGTTCCTCTCCTGCAGTAAGCATGTGATGATTTATTTCTACCGTCTTGTTTTGTTAACTTATGTTGTATTTGCATGACTAGCAATCATAATCGAGATGCAATACTAAGATTTGGGTTATTCTATATTTGTTAAAACGACAGTTGATTATCAGATCGCATGAAGGTCCAGATGCGCGGGAAAAGCGGCCAGGTCTTGGTGGAATGGATAACGGGTACACCATAGATCACATTGTGGAGTCCGGGAAGCTCATTACTTTGTTTAGTGCTCCAGACTACCCACAATTCCAGGTTTGTGTAGGATCCCTTGAGACCGGTGTTCATTAACTCAGTTTTTAGTGAATTCTTGGCATAACTGTTCATTTATTGGCTGTTGGCAGTATACGGTTTTCCTTTGCCAAATTGCGCTGCAAAGTTTACTTGATGCATGTATGATTGTTTTGATGGGGTTTTACATGTTTCCTTCTAAGATCCATCCCCTTTTAAAGTAGATTGGGTGCTGTTAAACATCTCATTCAAAATGGTGCTTTTGTGTATGTCACACAGCATGTGAAACGTGCTTTCGCGTGTTGAAATGTATGGCTATTGATTATTCGTTTAACTCTTCCATCTCCATTGAGTTGTGCTGTGATCCTTTCTTAACTCTTGATTGAGTCTTCGAGTTTATTATATTGTGCTTTCGTTGTCACGGGACATTAGAACCTGACTCGTACCAACACGCTAATGTTTTCATATCAATTAATATCACTTTGTTTTTTCTCTTTTTTTTTGTTTTCTGTTACTCAGGGGACAGAAGAGAGGTACAGAAATAAAGGGGCTTACATTGTTCTAGAACCCCCGAACTTCGATAATCCTGTATTTCATAGCTTTGAAGCAATCACTCCAAGACCAAAGGTAGTTTTTAGTTTCGCTTTCGAGTCGAATGTTCGTGTATAAAATATTTTCGTTCTTACTTGGAGCTTCCATTGCAGGCAAACCCCTTTTACAACTTCGAAGAAGTGATTGATTCCGATGAAGAGTTGGACTTGGCATCGATGGCGACTAGCCCGTGAAGGTCCTCGGTCACCTGTTTCCGTCTTTCGTATGATGTCGATCGCCAGTTTTACAACCCGTTCATGATTTTGCTGTGTTACTCAAATTTACGGAATGCATTTTCTTTTGCCTTGCGAAATGCCCTTTCAAAATGTACAATTATCTTTAAATGGGGCAGTCTTATGGTAATCATTATTATTTTGGGAAGTTTAACGAAAAGCACCTGGTAAGTGAATAAAAAATCACATTTTTACACTAAAAAGTCAATTCTGGTACTATTTATTTTACCATTTATTTTATCCTTATCATTAAAACTCAAAATTTTCAAGCTCTTTTCATTAGTTTTCCTTATTATTTTTTGGCTGTGACATTCATTAATCTGTTATTTATCTTCATCTTTCATCTTTAAAAACTTGGATACGATTGATCTGAAGAGCACAAATTCGACATAGCAGTCGGCCGAACATGAGCGCTCAACGCGTATCTTCCCGAAATAATATTACATCTTCAAGAAAATGAATGAAGAAGAGGATTCCTAGCCATGTAACATCAATGGTTTAACCGAACATGTTGGTAAATAAGTACAACGGTTAGGTTATATCCTGTACTGACCTAGTGGATTATAACCAACTATTACTAAACTAGCTAACTTGGCCTGATTACGGTTGCTAGAGTCTGTCTACTTTCTACAGAAGAGCCTGATGGTCAAGAATGGACAGGCATCACGAAATGCTACTGATCCGACTGCTCAAACGGAACACGAACAAACAACTGCCCGTGCAGGGTGACCACAGCTGATGTCTGGTGTGGATCAATTCTTGATGGTAAGGTGACAACCTGTTCACGAAGCCAAATACCATATCAATCACCTTTGCTGTTTAAAAATGTTTAATCCTGTAACATGTCAAGAAAGCTAAAGTGAAAGATATGAAGTCCGATCTTTATGACCGTGGTTTGTTTAACATTAGACAGAGTAGCCACGGTGCCAACTTTCGAAGCAAGTAGGAGACATTCGAATTTTTCCTCCAAAGACGCATTTCTTATATTGTTACTCCACCAGCCCTAGAGTTTCCCCATCTTTCTTGTAACTGTTCTGTTATTCATGTAGAAGAAACACTCTACTCTTCAAGTCAAGCATATGCTGTGCTGTTCTATTTTTGATTAAAGAGAATCTCATAACAATTTCGACATATCATCAAAGAAATCTGATTGGTTTTCTTTACTTCCGAATCTGACAAGTTTCTCATCTGGTTTTTTAATACTGGAATATTCTTAGATTAGTAATTTTTCCACATGGCCGTATCTAATTAAAGTTATTACACCACACTGCTAGCCGACTAAATATTCTGTAAACCATTCACTAACAAAACGTAGTTTCTGTCACACATTTCATAACACCTTAGAGCGGAAAGAAAAAGAAACGCACCTTTTTGAAAGATGTGACACCCCATGGATTATCAGGATGCTCAGGTTCTCCACTTATAACCAGTCGCCCAGCTGGATCTGATTGAACACGCACCTGAGGATTGATTTCCAGAAGAATAGGATAAGCAATGTAAATTATGTAATTACTGAAACAGAAACCTAATATTTTACACATCAAACAAATATCAAGCAGGACTTCTCAGCTCAATTTTAGATTCTAAAGCTTTTTCCCCTTTCTTGAGTACAAAATCCAAAAACTGATAATAGATGCCTTGATATGCAAACATGTACATACTCTACCAAGGCATAATTTAAGGGGCCCAAAATTTGTCTGAACATCTTTCAAGGATCCTACTTCCTGTTTTTACAACGTGGCTTATGATTTACTGCCATTCCCACCTTAATAAGAACATAACAAAAAGAAACGATTGCATACATGTCTTCTAAAAGAATATACAAATGATCTCTATAAGAATGCAAAGAATCGAACAGTAGCAAAGCAAAAGGAAGGAGAGCGACAGATTCAGGAACATGTATACTTACCTCCTCACGGAGAAGCCCTGGAACTAAAGCATAGACCTCAAAACAATCTTTCTGCAAAAATGACACATCTCATTATACTGGTTGGTGCTTGAAAATTCCACAGATGCAAATTTCCTTGTGTTCAAACATGTATTGGATAAACTTACAGTTCTCTGCACATTGATCTTCACCCAATCCGCTGGAGGTCCAAGATCAACCACATCTACATCCAATCTACCCAAACAGACAAAACAAAGCCAAGTTAACACTATAATAACATGTCGACTGTGTACTGGCACTGAACAATTTCCTGATATATTAGATATAGACAAACGAAATAAAAATAGAACATTATCTCAACTGTAACTTAGATTCTTTAGCACGGGCAGCTTTTACCACATGCTCCACAAAAGGTGGCTTCTTTCTTTTAAGTGAACCTGAAGTCAACATACAAAATCTGAGGTGAGAAGTTATATAAGAACTATATTATTACAAAGGACACCAGTTCCACTGAGAGGCCATACCAATGCTTTTAAGCTGTTTTTCACGCTTTTGCAAAGAAATAGCATTTTTATCCTAAAGAAACAGAAGAGATGGTAGTACCATATCAGAACCAACTTCTACATGGAGAGAATGAAAAAAAAAAAATGAGAGCAAAAATCTTTATACTTTCCAGACCTTTATGATAGGGTCACTGACTTCACCACTCCCAGTGATACGTTGTGAGTGCCAACCCTGCATGGCACGTGCTGCAGCATCCCTTCTTGCTCGACCTGACCCTGCAGCCTAATTACCACAATCATGCATTAAGTGTTGGGCTCGTTGAAGAAACTCCTTGTTGAGCAACCAACTGCACCAATTTTCAAGGTTGACGTGCCATAGTTCATTGTGTCGAAAATTTTCATGCGAATAACAATGAATGTATACGTTCTCAGCAGTACATGGATACCATTTTCATTCAATGAAACATTTTTTACCATGAGATGAACAAAGTGGCATAAACACCATGCCACCTAAGAGGGATACAAATAAATGCCACAAAATCATCTAATACGGTAATACACAAAACATTACCAAAAGATCCCCGGTCATAAGATCACAACTTACCTGGTTATCGATATTCATAGGCTCTGGCAGGGAAGAGATTGGTGGTTCAGTACCAAATTTATGCCTTTCATAATCTAGGAGTGCCTGAAGTCACACAAGAACAACCAATAATGACTAACATATAAACATTATGTTATACTCCAAGGAAGAAATTTAACAAATCACCGTTAAAAGAGGATTTGACATAATGGACTTATAAAAATACTGAGGCGACCACAAGTGACTCGAATAGAAGCTTTTATAATTAATTTCCAACACAGGCCACTCAAGCACATATCCACATGGTCAACCACCAAGAAGATGGACACACCCAGATTTGCTCAATCATAGCAGGCAATTGAGTCTACGATTATGGTTGCCGATCCCATAATTCTTGATCCAGTATCAAATTTGAACAGGTGGGAAATTACAAACACATAGCAACTTATAACCTATGGAGAATCTATAAGAAAGATGCAGCTTGCAACCAAGTGTGTGCACACATACCTTCTCATAGAAACCTCGAAATGTCCATGAAACCGTAGTGCATGTCCTGCAGCAGAAATAGAAAAATAACTTAACTATCATATAACACATGGTAAACATTATTGGACCTTTTTAATCCACTCCTCACAGCACCCCCTTTCCACTTTCCAAGACAGCAAATCATGATGGGGTTAAATAGGAACTAAAGAAATTTCACACCTAGAAACACATTAACTTTACTTCAAGTTTTTGTCATGATATAAACATCACAAAGTTGACCCTTACAAATAACAAAGGAGAACAAAATGACCAACAGCGTATTGCCAACGAAAGAAGTCCCCCAATTTCAGTGTTCATAGATTATATCTATTAGAGAATTAAGGAGGGTGGATTTTCTTCGTTCATGTCCACAAACTACAGCACTTCAAAAATTTCCACATCTCCAAGTAATGGAGCTTGCACTATGTATATAATAAGGGAGTTGAGCAGATATTGTTCCTTACTTTGGAGGTCTAAACGCTTCTCCCACTTGCCGCCACAACTTATTTGAGGTCACCTACGATAAGCAGACAGATTATATATGAGCTTCCAACAAGAAAACACTATAATTCTGGAAATGAAAACTCATATTATATATAAGTGTCTAAGCTATATGAATAAAAATGCACACTCCACACCTTATCATAGCCACCCAATCTTGTCACACCTCTCCAAAGCCTTATCCCAGTAAAAAGTTGAAATGCATTAGCCAAAATAAATAACATTCATATAATTAGTAAACAATACAGAACCAGTAAAAATGACAAGTATAGACTTACTTAAGGCAATTCAAACCCTCTCCATAAAACTTAGGAGGTTTAAATTCCATGCTCCTCTCCTTAAAGAAATTTTCCACCTCCTTCATGAAAGCTGATTGCTCCTCTTCTGTTCCAGAACCATTACCTTCATACATGTCACTGTCATCTAAAAGAAACATGTCCTTTGAGTTTGGGGTTCCATTACTTTTGGGTGTAGTAATATCTTTTTCATCCACCTTATTCTTCAATTCTTCCCCACTCCCAGAATCAGCCCTTATATCAGAAGATCCGGCATGAGGGGTAACAGGTTCCTTATGACTCACAGTTCCACTTTCTTCCACGGGATCGTCAGATTCCCGCTCCGGCACTTGAGAAACTTCATTTTTAACACCAACAGTAGGTTTAGCAGTCTCTGCAAGACTTGTGGAAACCATGTTGCCATCCTCACAGCCATGACTATTACTTTGAGGCAAATCCTGGGCTTCAGCACTCTTGGCATCAGCTACGGGCTTAGTACCTTGCTTGACTAACTGATCGCCTTCATCCTTTAAGGATTCGGTATCTGGCTTGGCTAATTGTTTGCCCTCCTCCTTTAAGGATTCGATATTTGGATTGACTAATTGTTCGTCCCCGCCATTTATTGTGACTGATGGAGGAGGCAAATCCTTATCGGATTGCTGCGAAATGGACAGTGGTTCTACTTCTACATTGGTGTTATCATCAGCGGTCATCTCCACGTTGGTCTTATTGGGTAGAGCTTCGCCATTTTCAGCAGGATTCGGGGTTTCCTGGACCGGTCCAGAATCTCCAGAATTCGGAGAATTATTCTGCTTGTTATGATCATTTTCTGGTTTCCCATTATTTAAAGAATCAACTGGCAATTCTTGTCCAGTTTCCTCCTTGTCTTCGGTATCACTCATTTCTAAGTACAAAAGTACAAAAAGCA